TCCACAAATTGTTCGATTTATTGAACAGACTATTGACTAGCTTTGTATTAGCATGCATATTCCATTTGGATATTCCTCGACTCAGTATGCATTGGAAGCAGCAAAATGTAGTTAAAACCATGTTGGGTTGAACCAAAAAAGCCAGCAACCCGTTTGAACCCTCTGGACTGACATCCACTAGCATTAGCTAGCTATTGACACCTCTTTCTATAACGTGGCACTCTATTTATGAGCTTAAAACTATTCTCAAAAAGTTTTTGAATAAGTTGTGCTAGGATGTAAGCTATTGAAGCTGTCATCAATCTTAACGTCCGCCAGTGACAAAATCCATAGGGAGAGACAAAAACGTTTTCAGTCTTGGGTTAGGTCGATTTAACTTAAGCAATTCGAGCTAGCTTGGTTTTAGCAATATTAAACCAGATTATACTACTGATAAAAGAAATAGAAGGAATAAAGTTGTAAAATACAAAAATACCTGCGCAAGGGTTTCAGCAATATTTGCAAGGCACAATAACATCAATGGTATACCGATCATGGCGTATATGATCGTCATCAAGCGACCAGTATCTGTCTTTGGGCAAATATGCCCATACCCTGAAAAAACGACCAACTTTACAAGAACAGAAAACAGGAAGCATTTTAGAATTATATGAAAAAAGTGAAAAAATGCAGTACCTATGGTGGTGAACACTGTAATGGAATACAGTAATGCTCCCGAAAACGTCCATTGATACGTGGGTCGAGTATCGTCATGTTCATCATAACCTACAGAACCAGATTTAAAAAATTAAGTGTAAAAAAGATTCTATTTGAAGCATTTTTTTCAGCATTCGAAGCGACTAACCTTCAAAATTCACAGCTTCTACCAGCAATTTTTCATAATGTTTGAGCAAACGATGAGCTTTACTTTTCACTTCGGCTTCTTCAATCACTGTACTGTTGTTGATGAAGTCGTACAATTCGTGGACAACCTGCTCTTCATAATTTTTTGCACAAAAATGGAAAAAAGGTGAAAAAGAAAGAAAATATAACTTACATTCCAAGTGTCGTTCTTGATATGACCTTGAAATTCCATTTCTTTCGGATATTCTATGGCTTGGAACATGAAAGCGCC